AGACGTAATCCAACTCGAATCGGGTCTATTTAGATTATCGTTTGATTACCCCAAGCTCGAAACCACCGACCTCCCGTTGTTGTCTTCACGTTCACATCCCCACCAATAACGGCTAAATCGTAATTTACCGGGCTGTCTTTCACTTCCATCCTTTGAGTATGATGATGATTCATGATTCGAGCACGCCTCCACAAAGCGAACATCGATTACCACGAACACTTATAATGAATACCTTACCCGCTTCCGCGAAATCTCCTCCCTCGTCGTCGTCATATTCGTACCTCATCAGATTTTTAATGTACTGATCTGGCTACAGCAGATATCCACGTTCGTCCAAACAGCTCGTCCCCTCATGTAGCCTATGGAGGTAATGAATTCAACAGCGAGCTCCGTCATGAACCGCCAATGAACGATAATCATGGTGACGCCAGCACTCCTTTCGTTCGTCACGTTTCGAGAGAACCAGGCCTAGCCGCTAATCGGGTGTGGACCATTCTGTCAAAGCCGGAATAAACGCGACATGGGTGAAGTGGAGGGAGTCCCATGTAATCCTCAGCGATCAGTGGCGCTCTAGGGCGCTTGAGGGGAAGGCGAGCAGGACAGTAGTGAGGTCCACAATGGTCTACGGCAGAGAGTACTGACCCATAAGTGGTAATCGTGAAGGACAACTGTCACACCGCTGAAGTGAAGATGCTCAGATTGACTATGGTTCGACGCGACTGGACCGGATTAAAAACGAAGACGTCAAAGCAAAGCGTTTATGGGAATAGCTCCTGTCTAGATGAAGACGAGAGAACAACGTCTACGATAGTACGAAGTAGTGTCAGAGAATAATGTAGATAGGAGGAAGAACGACTAACAACAATGGCGGACCCTGCGACGGTACGGGATGAAGGCTGAGCAGAGGAATTTTTAGTAACTTTCAAAGAAAAACCAATTGTTCTTTGTATTCGTTCAGAGTGGACAACGTTCTCAGTTTCTACTGACGACGATGCCACCAAGGAAGAGCAGACATTGCAATCGCCTCCAATCCATCCGCAGTATTGAACATCT